CTTCTCCGCTCCTACTTTACACACACGTTCGACCGTACTTACTTTTCAACGGTGCGTACAATTTCAAATTTTACGAAATGAAAAATTCTTATTTCCTTCGCCCGACTTACGAACCGATTTTTCATCGAGTCGAGATTCGATGAGTAAGAGATTCGTTTGCGCTCGGAAGAAAGTTTACACTTTCGAGGCAATTTCGTTAAACGATATCGCGGCCAAACGTTTCTCCCGAAGCGAGGAAGAGTGATTTAAAATCGCACTCGGCGCGAATTCATACGTGTTTCGTACTCGAAACGCCGAGTCAGAGGGGATGCCGCGCTTGCGCGGTGTTGAACGGTAGGTGGCGAGGGGGTATCGTCGGGGGGTATGGGGATGAGTCAGTCAAGCCGCAGCGCGCGTTCAGAAAACTACCTTCTACGCGATCGCATAATATCGCAGCCTATTTTCTAATTTAAATCCTTGTGTTGTTCGCGGCAAGATTCACACGTGCTCTTCCCCTCCCCTTCCATCCTTACCTTGTCTTATCGCGAAAAGATCATTCTCGAATTAGCCCGATTCGACCGAGGATCGTGCTTCTACGATACGCGTACGATTGATTCCAAGAACGCGGCAATATCTCTCTCTCCCTCTCTCCCTCTCCCTCTCTTTCTCTTCCAACTGTACGCGTAAAGAAGCGAACGATCGGTTTAAAATTCGACCACGAAGAAAAAGAAGAAGAAGAGGAGGAGGAGAAAGAAGAAGAAGAAGAAGAAGAAGAAGAGGAAGAAGAAGAGGAATCAGTGAGAGGAAAGAAGCGTTCAATTGTGAAAGTGATTCCGTTGTGCGCACGATCGCTTTAGCTCAGCCATTTTTTTATACGGTGAAAAAATTTATCAGGGAGGATCGAGGATCGATGGAGAGAAAAGTAAGAAGGGAGGAATAATGTCGTTGAAGATATGAAACGAGGAACGAGAGAGGAAGGACGCGCGCAAAAGGACGCCGCTCCAACGAAATTCGAGATGGATAAAAGTTTCTTTTGCATACCTCGATGATCGTACGATCGTTATTATTCGCTATCCGATTCCTAGATCGAGGCGGATAGGGTGAGAAGAGGTATCAAAAATGGTAACCATCGTTTCTATTAAAAATTCGATACGAAAGATCGTAGAGGAGGAATTTATAACAGTTGGATGGGATGAAGAGGAGCACGATCGATCGTAAGTCGGATGGGAAAGGGGAAGAAGGATCGAAGGAATTCATCATCGGGAGGGGAAAAAAATGTAAGAGAGGCGAGTGAAAACTCGCGAGTAGTGGACGGTTTCCAGATCTGAAGCGGTGCGAAAGCTGCTCGAACGAGGTGGTCATCTTTCGAGTGGAGGGTGGTGAAAAATATGGGATGGTCGTGGAATCATCGAAAGAAAGAGTACAGGTAAAATGGTTCGGAAGTAGTCGAAATTATACGGAAAAGGGAATGCCGCAGTATCGTAAGGAAGGGGAGAAGAGAAATGTTTTCAACCTTCTTTTTCTTCTTCTTCTTCGCCTATCGCGATACACCTTGTCCACGCCGTCGATATTCGTATAGTTGGGAATCGATATAAGAAGAAGGAGAGGAAGGAAGGAAGGAAGGAAGGAAGGAAGAATCGGTGGTAAAGTGGGAGACCGAGAAAGCGATGGAAGAAAAGGGAAAAGAAGTTCGTTGATCTCCGGGGAAATACATCCGAGGAGGGCAGTTTTTGGAAAGAACGCAGCGACGACGGATCGTCGTCGAGAGATCGATTCTCCTGATATACGATCGAAGCGAAAGGAAATCGGGAGTTCGGGATCGATCGGCGGATATATACGAAGGAAGGACGAGAACGGACAGAGTCGCGATGCGATCTCGTTGCATTCGAGGAACAACGAGCGTGCGATCGTTGTTAACGATGTTGGTGAAAAACTTGCCGTTTTTTTCTTTTATCGTGCGCGAGCGTGCTCGGTAAATTCGGGTTTTTACCGAGAGAACACCGGGGAACACCGGGCCGGTAGTAAATGGCGCGTGTCGATAGTTACGTTCGATTCTCGCCGAATAAGCGTTTCCCTTGTCCGTGCTTGTCCATCAACTACGGACCAGGCATCGATAAATAGTATTTTTTTACCTACCGCTACGATCGACCAACGATCGGCGAGCGAGATCGCGAAATCCTCGAACGATCGCTCGGCAACGTACAGCTCGAGAACGAATTTCCCGTCCTATTTGGTTGTTCTTCCAGCTCGACAGGTTGTCATCGAGGCGCGCGCACACACACACACGCACACGCACACGCTCGAACGATTTCGCCTCGTCTTCGCTCGTACGAAGATCTCCAACGGCGGAACGAAGTGAAGGTGGTATGTTATGACGAGCGTGATTTGTTTTTCCATAGGTGGAACGCTGCAACGGTGGTATTAAGTGTGCAGTGATCACGGGAGACCGAGAGAAGACGGGAAAGAGGGTGGTCAATATGACTCCTATCTTCCTCGTCCTGTTGGTGGCTATCGACCCGATTATCGCGCAGAATGGTGGTGAGTAATCGACCAGAGAAATCCACTTTTTTTTTTTTTTTTTT